ACTTGGTAGCCCAGGCAGGCCTTGAACTCACAGAGAGCCACCTGGCTCTGCCTCCCCAGTGCTGGGATTAAAGGCATGCTCCACCACTGCCTGGCCAGTTGCAATTTCTGTTCTTAGAAATTTACATTCTTTATGTTGGCAACACAGAACATTTACATTTATATGGTCATAACAAGCCAGAGAGGTAATGGCAATCAAGATGTTATTCCATGGTAACAGGGACCACATGCATCAACATGGCTTACAAAACAATAGCAATGTAAGACAGATAGTTTCATAAACATTATCAAGGTTAAAATAGGGAGAACAGGTCAATGACATCAGCATGGGTGCAGGTGGCCTCATGACTTACAGATATCAGCTAAGTTAACAAAGGTTCATTAAATCTTGGAAATTACCATTCTATATATTGACAAAAAGGAACACTTACCTTAACATAATAACTTGTAGCAGGAGAGATCATGGAAATCAAACTGGTGTCCAGTCGTAAGATCATGAGCATCAACATTGCTCCCGGAAGGAGTAGGAATAGCATTGCCCTTCCAACCATGGATATGCACATGTTTAAGAGACTCAGCTGGATTTTAAGACCTCAACTTGTTTGGAGGTAACATCATGTATTCAGGATATTAACTTAGTTTCTGTTAGTAGATCAATTCTTGGAAATTACATTCGTTATATATGCAACACAGAATACTTACACAAATAAGGTGATAAGGGGATGGAGAATTGAAAGCAATGGAGGTGTTATCCCATGGTAATAAGGACCACATGTATCAACATGGCTTACAGAACCAACAGGAATGCATTGGGGGTACATTCATAGACAACAAAATGGTTAACATTGGCAAGAGGGATCAATGACATCAGCATGTTTGGAGGTTGCAGCATGAATTACGGATATCTGCTTAGTTACTGATGCTTGTTAAATCTTGGAAATTACCATTTTACACAATGTCAAAAAGGAACACTTGCCTTAATATGGCCATAAAGGGCTGGTGAATTTATGGCAAAGATGATGTTAACCCATGGCACAAGGGACCACCTGCATCAACATGGCTTATAAAACCAATAGGATTGCAGGGGTGCTCCATTCATTAATATCAGCAGGGTTTGCAAAAGCAGTAGTGATCAATGACATCAGCATGGTTGCAGGTGGCAGCATGAATAACTTAGTTACCAAAAGTTGGTTAAATCTTGGAAATTACCATTCTATACATTGGCAAAAAGGAACACTTATATTAGCATCATCACCTGTAGAAACAGAGATCATGGAAATCCACATGATATGCAGTGGTTAACAAGACCATGAGCATCAATCTCATACCAGAAGTATTAGAAAATGCATTATAGTTCCAATAATGGACATGTATATGGGTATCAAAAGCAGTATGGATCAATAAAATCACAAGGTTTCAGGTGGTAGTATGTTGAATGGATAGCCACATAGTGTATATTGGTAGTTGAGATCAGGGAAATTAACATTCTTCATGTTGGAAAGACAGAACTCTTAAATCAACATGATATCAGGTAGGAGGTCAGATAGACATCAACATCAGATTCATGGGCAAGAAAGAAACCTGGCATCAACATGGCTTCCAGAAATAGTAGGAATAGCATGGTATGTCTGCTCATGGACATCTGCATGATTAAGAGATTCAGCAGGGATGAATGATTTAATTTGTTTGGAGGTGACAACAAGTATTCCAGATATCAAATTAGTTTCAGTTGGTATTTTTGTCCTTGGAAATTTACATTCTTTATTCTGGCAACACAGAACACTTCCATGAATATGGTCACAAGGGACCAGGGAGGTCATGGCAATCACAATGTTATCCCACAGTAAATAGGACAATATGAATCAACATGGCTTACACAAACAATAGGAATTCCTGTCAGGCCCTTTTATAAAAATAAAAAAGGTTAACAGAGGCAACAATGGTAAATGACATCAGCATGGGTGCAAGTGGCAGCATGAATTACAGATATCAGCTACATTACCAAAGGTTCATTAAATCTTAGGCATTACCATTCTATATATTGACAAAAAAGAAACACTTACCTTAATATTGTCACTTGTAGCAGGAGAGATCATGGAAATCAACCTGGGGTCCAGTGGTAAGAAGATCATGAACATCAGTATTGCTTCCAGAAGGAGTAGGAATAGCATTGTAGTTCCAATCATGGATATGCACATGTTTAAGAGACACAGCTTGGTTTAAGACCTCAACTTGCTTGGGGGTAGCAGCATGTATTGAGGATATTAACTTAGTTTCTGTTAGTATTTCAATTCTTGATAAGTACATTCTTCATATTGCCAATACAGAACACTTACAAAAATAAGGTGATAATACGATGGAGAATTGAAAGCAATCAAGGTGTTATCTGATGGTAACAAGGACCACATGCATCAACATGGCTTACAGAACCAATAGGAATGCATGGGAGATCCATTCATTAATATCAACTGGTTTTGCAAAGGCAGCAATATTCAATGGCATCAGCATGGCTGCAGGTGGCATATGAATTATGTGTATCAACTTAGTTACCAAAAGTTAGTTAAATCTTGGAAATTACCATTTGGCAACAACAAACACTTACCTTAAGGTGGTGACTTGTAGGAGGAGAGATCATAGAAATGAATATGGCACCCAGTGGAAAGAAGATAATCAGCATCAACATTTCTTCGGGAATGGTAGTAATGGAAATGTGCCTCCAATCATGGTCATCCACATGGTTAACAGTGTTTCAGGAGGCAAAATGTAGAAAGGATAGCCACACAGTTTACTTTGGTAGAGATAAGAGAAATAAACTTATTCATGATGGAAAGACAGAACTCTTGCACCAACATGTTGTCCCTTGGTAAAAATGACCACATGTATCGACATGGCTTACAGAACTAATAGGAATGCATGGGAGCTCCATTCATTAATATCAAGTAGGTTTGGAGTTGCAGTAGTGATCAATGACATCAGCATGGTGGCAGGTGGCAGCATGAATAATGTGAATCAAAAGCTGGTTAAATCTTGGAAATTATCATCCTATACATTGGCAACAAAAAACACTTACCTTAAGGTGGTGACTTGTTGCAGGAGAGATCATAGAAATGAATATGGTACCCAGTGGAAAGAAGATAATAAGCATCAACATTGCTTCTGGTGTAGTAAGAATGGTATTGTGCCTCCAATCATGGACATCGGAGAGATCATAGAAATGAATATGGTACCCAGTGGAAAGAAGATAATAAGCATCAACATTGCTTCTGGTGTAGTAAGAATGGTATTGTGCCTCCAATCATGGACATCCATATAGTTAACAGAAGCAATAGGGATGTATTATATCCACAGTGTTTCAGGTGGTAAAATATAGAATGAATAGCCACACAGTTTACTGTTGTAGTTGAGATGAGAGAAATTAACTTTCTTCATGATGGATATACCACCAACATGATTTCCAGTAGGAGTACAGATAGACATCAACATCAGATACATGGGCAAGAAAGAATCCTTGCATCATTGTGGCATCCAGATATAGTAGAAAAAGCATTGTATGTCTGCTCATGGACATCCACATGTTTAAGACATGGAGCAGGGATGAATGAATTCAAATTGTTTGGAGGTGACCTCAAATAATCTGGATACCAACTTAGTTTCAGTTGGTATTTGAATTTTTGGAAAATTACATTCTCTGTGTTGGCAACACAGAACACTTCCATCCATATGAACATAAAGGGCCAGAGAGGTCATGACAATCAAAATGTTATCTCATGGTAACAAGGACCACATTCATCAACATGGCTCACAGAAACAACAGGAATACATTGAAGGTACATTCATAGACATCAACAGGGTTAACAGTGACAATGGCTTTCAATGACATCAGCATGTTTATAATGTCATGATGAATTATGGATATCTGCTTAGTTACAAATGCTTGTTAAATCTTGGAAATTACCATTTTACGCATTGCCAAAAAACAAACACTTGCCTGAATATGGCCATAATGGGCTGGAGAATTTATGGCAATCATGATGTTAACCCATGATATAAAGGAACACCTGCATCGACATGGCTTACAGAAAAAATAGAAATGCAGGGGAGTGCCATTCATTAATATCAGCAGGGTTTGCAAAGGCATCAGTGATCAATGACATCAGCATGGCTGTAGGTACTAGTATGAATTATGTGTACCAACTCAGTTATCAAAAGTTGGTTAAATTATGGAAATTACTATTCTATACATTTGCAACAAGTAAAGTCTACATTAACATAATCACCTGTAGGAACAGATCATGTATATCAACATGGTGTCCAGTGGTTTAGAAGACCATGAGCATCAACAATGCTACCACAAGTAGTAAGAAAAGAATTATAGTTCCAATCATGGACATCCATATGGGTAACAAAAGCAACAGGAATCCATTAAATCCACAAGTTTACAGGTGGTAGATTGTTGAATGGATAGCCACATAGTTTACTATGGTAGTAGAGATCAGGGAAATTAACTTTCTTCTTGTTGAAAGACAGATCTCTTGCATGAACATGGTCTCAGGAAGTAGGACAGATAGACATCAACATCAGATCCATGGGCAAGAAGAACCCTGGCATCAATGTGACTCCCGGAAATAGTAGAAATAGCATGATCTATCTGCTCATGGACATCCGCATGTTCAACAGATGTAGCAGGGATGAATGAATTCAATTTGTTTGAAGGTGACAGCAAGTATTCTGGATATCAACTAGTTTCAGTTGGTACTTTTGTTCTTGAAAATTTACATTCTTTTGTTGCCAACACAGAACATTTACATTAATATGGTCATAAGGGGCCAGAGAGGTCATGGCAATAAAGATGTCATCTCACGGTAACAAGGACCACATGAATCATCATGGTTTACAGAACCAATAGGAATGCATGTCACTTCCTTTCATAGACATCAACAGAGTTAACAGAGGCAGCAGCAGTCAATGACATCAGCAAGGGTGCAGGTGGCAGCATGACTTACAGATATTAGCTAAGTTAACAAGGGTTCAATAAATCTTGGGAATTATCATTCTATATATTGCCAAAAAGGAACACTTACGTTAATATTGTCACTTGTTGCAGGAAAGATCATGTAAGTCACCATGGTGTCCAGTGGTAAGAAGATCATGAGCATCAACATTGCTTCCAGAAGGAGTAGGAATAGCATTGTAGTGCCAATCATGGACAAGCACATGTTTAAAAGACTCAGCTGGATTTAAAGACCTCAATTTATTTGGAGGTAGCAGCATGTCTTTTGGATATTATCTTAGTTTCTGTTGGTATTTCAATTCTTGAAAATTACATTCTTCATATTGGCAATACGGAATACTTACATTAGTAAGGTGATAAGGGGATGGAGAAATCAAAGTCATCAAGGTGTTATCCCATGGTAACGAGGACCACTTGCATCAACATGGCTTCCAGAACGAATAGGAATGCATGGGAGCTCTATTCACTAATATCAACCTGGTTTGCAAAGGCAGCAGTGACCAATGACGTCAGGTTGGCTGCAGGTGGCAGTATGAATTATGTGTATCAACTTAGCTACCAAAAGTTAATTAAATCTTGGAAATTACCATTCTACACACTGGCAACAACAAACAATTATCTTAAGGTGGTGACTTGTAGCAGGAGATATCATAGAAAAAAAACATGGTGCCAAGTAGTAGAAGATAATTAGCATCAACATTGCTTCCAGAAGTAATAAGAATGGCATTGTGCCTCCAATCATGGACATCCACTTGGTTCACAGAAGCAGTAGGGATGTATTATATCTACAGGGTTTCAGTAGCCAGAATGTAGAATGAATAGCCACACATTTTACTTTGTATTTGAGATCAGAGAAATTAATTTTGTTCATGATGGAAAGACAGATCTGTTGTACCAACATGGTATCAGGTAGGAGGACACATAGACATCAAAATAAGTTCCATGTGCAAAAAAGAACGCTGTCATCAACCTGGTTTCCAGAAATAGTAGGAACTGCATTGTATGTCCGCTCATGGACTTCCACATATATAACAGATGCAGCAGGGGTCAATTAATTCAATTTGTTTGGTGGTGACAGCAAATATTGCGCATATCAACTTGGTTTTGTTTGGTATTTCAATTCTTGAAATGTCACATTCTTTATGTTGGCAACATAGAACACTTCCATCAATATGGTCATAAGGGGCCAAGGAGGTCATGTCAATCAAAATGTTATCTCATGGAAACAAGGGCCTCATGTATCAACATGGCTTACAAAAATAATTGGAATGCATTGGAGGGGCATTCATAGACATCAACAGGGTTAACCCTGGCAACGGCTGTCAAGGACATCAGTATGGATATCTGCTTAGTGACCCATGCTTGCTAAATCTTGGAAATTACCATTCTACATATTGCCAAAAATGGGCTTAACATAGCCATATGGGGCTGGAGAATTTATGGCAATCATGATGCTAACCCATGGTATAAATGACCACCTGCATCAACATGGCTTACAGAAACAATAGGAATGCAGGGGAGCTCCATTCATTAATATCAGCATGGTTTGCATAGGCATCAGTGATCAATGACCTCAGAATGGCTGCAGGTGGCAGCATGAATAATATGTATCAACTTAGTTACCAAAAGTTGGTTAAATCTTGGAAATTACCATTCTATACATTGTCAACAAGGATCACTTATATTAACATCATCACCTGTAGCAACAGATATCATGAAAATCGACATGGTGTCCAGTGGTTTACAAGGACATGAGCATCAACACTGCTACCAAAAGTAGTACGAAAACTATTATGGTTCCAATCATGGACATCCATATGCGTAACAGAACAAGCAGGGATCAATTAAATCCACAAGTTATCAACTGGCAGCATGTAGAATGGATAGAAACATAGTTTACTACAGTAGTTGATATTAGGAAATTAACTATCTTCATAATGGAAATATAGAACTCTTGCATCAACATGGTCTCAGGTAGTAGGACAGAAAGACATCAACATTAGATCCAAGAGCAAGAATGAACCCT